TATATATATATATATATATATATATATATATATAGACATGTATTGTTGTTGTTGGGATTCGGATTCTTCTACAGTAGGTGTCTGTGAGTTGTTGGCAATAAATTCAATAATAAACGAACAGCACTCACTCCACTTGTTTTCAAAATAATATATATATCCGGAACTAGTTAAACATATTTACAACAAATTCTTTAGAGATTATAGGCATATCATAAACACTATATACTTCTCTTCTTCTTTTCAAAAGTCCACATAGGCCTATTCAATTATTTTAGAATTTCAGTTGACAAGTCAAACTATTTTTCTCTATTACTATCTGAGTATAGTTCACTTACTTTGTTGTTGAGTTACCATGGTTGTATCCTATACTTCTAAAATCATCTGCTCCATTTTCTCTCTTTGTATTTCCAATAATCGTCTGTCTATTTGTCAAAGTCCACTGAGGTTAGTTCAGTTACTTTAGAACTCTCATTGACGAAATAAACTATTTTTATCTCTTTCAACACCATTAGTCTCACACTAATATATCAAACATTAGGCCTATATAAATAGTTAGGCCTTCCACTCCTATGATGATAAACTTTTCTTTGGCTGAATTCCTTCTTGTAACTTTACTTCTCATCTGCTCTGTCTTTGTCTGTCTGTCTCCACTAGTCTCACACTGTTTATATGTTTATCACTTAATTGTCTGTCTGCCTTCTAGAAATCTCTATATTCTCGAAATCAACATATTGCACATGATATTCGATATTCTCAACATCAATGAATTACTTAAATATTACTTATTGAATATTGAAGCAGCCTTGCTGGGTGACCATTTGTTACAACCTACACAAGATGAAAATACTTAAATATTACTTATTAAAAATTGAAGCAGCCTTGTTAGGTCCAAAAACCATTTGTTACAACCTACACAAGATGAAGATACTTAAATATTACTTATTAATAACTGAAGCAGTCTTGTTAGGTCCATAACCATTTGTTACAATCTACACAAGATTAAGATATTTTAATCTTACTTAATAAGTACTGGAACAGCCCTGTTGTTTTTCTTGCTAACAGTAACCAGGTGTTGCATCACTGGAACACCAGCATGGTGAAGACAGACAGCTACTGTGTGTCTTGTATCTTCACAGTGTGTCGGGTGACAAGACATGCGTATTAAAGATGCCCACTTTACCACAACCTCAAGATCCAAGCTGAAACATCAAAATGTCACATTATTTATGCAAAATTAATGGTCTGTACATAAGTTAATTCCTGAATGGATAAAATCTAAACAAGTTACTGGTAACTGATAATTAATATTTGAAATAGTGGCACAATAAAAAGTTAAGTTTGAACACATGATTATCATTATATATAAAATACTGTTTAGTGTAGATATTATTAATTTATTTATTTTGTGATTTAATATCTTATGTTTGTTTAGTTGTTGTTTTTTTATAATAAGAGAGTTAAAAGCAGACAATTATTGGAAGTTTGTTTATATCTTCATCTTGTAACAAATGGTAATGGACCTAATAATGCTGCTTCAATATTTAATAAGTATTAAAGATTTAATTAGCTTCAGTTAATGTAAGCTATAACAATTAATTAGTCATGGATCCTGGAGATTCAGATATTCCTCCCATTCGTTTCGAATGCGAAACATTGGATACATAGCACCTTGCTAATTAGTGATATCTAAAAGCCCCATCAGCTTAATAAAATCCAGAAGTATTAGGAGTAAGATCAAGTGCAGTTATTACTTCATGACATTTTGTTTATGGACATAATGATAATTAAGTGATTCCAAACTTGTTGGTTTGAATATAGATCTGTTTCCATATGATAATTAAATGATTCTAAACTTGTTGGTTTAAATATAGATCTGTTTCCATATGATAATTAACTGATTCTAAACTTGTTG